AAATTCCCAAAAGCCTGCTGGAATAAATAAAATTCTAACTCATATGCCAGTCCCTTACACTTGGTAAGGATTTCAGTTTATACTGAATTGATACAGTATTATGCTTGTGGTAGCAAATCCTCTGATTTATTGAACTGTGTGATGGCATGGAATGCTTATAAACATTCCAGCTGTTGAAGGAAAGCTGCTAAAATGCTTTTAGTCCAGATTTGCAAGGGTATTAAAAAGGTGGGCTAGGATTAAAACTCACACAAACCCTGAGGTTTGGTAAGGTAGGGTAAGGTAGATAGGCTCAATGGACAGAGGAGACAGAGAAATGAGGCAAGAAAGAATTAGTGAGAGGTGGCTGAAAGGGAATAAATAGACTTAAAGCAGCTTTTCCCAACCTGGTGTGTTGGTTATAACTAATGAGTCAATTTTTGGACTGCAAACTTTTCAATTCAAAGTAGATCTGCAGAACATAGAAAGCTTCATTACACCTGTCAGGTTATTTGAACATCTAGCTCCTGGCACTGCCTACTGTGACTGGGGTGGAATCAACACACATATAAAAAACACACAGTGAAAATGTGTGTGTTTTAAAAAAAGAGAGTTTTGAAAAATATATTGAATTTACCATAGCTCACTTTCGCCATCTAGTGCCACCTTTGTATATTGAACTTTGCAACACACTTAAAACGTTTCATTTGCAGCTGCATAGCGGAGTCCTGGGTTTCAAGCAGAAATTATGATCCTTTTTAACCGGACACTCCAGAAATGGAAGTTGGTATCTTCTGCATGCAACACATGTGTCCTGGCACTGAATTATAGTCTCCCTCAATCGCACTTCATTCGCCATCCTATTGCCGTCATCCCATCCCTAAACTTTGGATACCTTATTTTATATGGAATAAAAGCAGGGTTGAGAAAGAACTCTGGAGTGCCATGGCCAGTCTGTATAGACAATACTGAGCTTGATGAGCCACTGCTCTGACAAAAACAATTTACAGTTGCCTAGTGACTAGAAACCAAGACACATGGTGGTAGGCAAGAAAAGGAAAGATAGAGAATAAAGTACTTATTCATATAGCACATAGTTAAACTATACCATTCATTCCCACAAGATGGCCACAATGATGGCCACCAATTCCAGACGGCTTTACATGAGGATTAGACAAATTCATGGAGGATAATGTAGCAATGGCTACTAGCTATGTTCTACCTCCACTGTCAAGAGACATTCTGCCTCTGTGTACCACTTGCCTGGAATCACAAGGGGCTGGGGGAGAGCCCTGTGGCCCTCAGCTTCTGCTTGCAGGTTTCCCATGGGCATCTGGTTGACCACCATGAGAACAGGACGCTGGACTAGATGGGCCTTTGGCCGGATCCAGCAGGGCTCTTCTTATGTTTACATGCCACCCTTTTCTCCAAGGAGCTCAAGGTCATGTCCAAGGTTCTCTCCCTCTGAAGGGCAGCGAGTGGCCCAGGGTCACCCAGTGAGCTTCATGGCCAAGTGGGGACTTGAACTTTTACCTCCCAGGTCCTAGTCCAACACTAACCATGACACCACACTCAATTCAGTATGCCTACCATTCTCAAAGCCAGTGATAAATTCTGGAGTACAGTCACACTTCATAACTCCCGCAGCCTTGCTTCTTCTAAGACTATTGAAGAAAAATTAACTTTTCACTAATGCAGACATTATGGCTTCAATATGAAGCCAGCTTTTGCTCTCACTCCCCTATGCTTTACTTAACAGTCAGCCTGATGAAGGTTATTCGCTATTTTGCCACCTTCTCATTGGTCATAAGAAAGCGATGCTTAATGTTACCTCCTTCCTCCATTTGGCTTATTTCGTGGGCTTCTTTCCGAGAAAAAAGAACCACTTATTTGGCCTGCAAAAAGCTTCCCAAGAGATAACATCCTAGTCCCTGCTGCGAAATAAACTGACACTTCTTCCTTGCCTATCTTTGCTTTGCCAAATCACAGCTCAAACCCCTCCCCCTGGGGAGACACCTTTCATCTCCCCCAGCTTCAAGTAATCCTTGCATTTCTAGAGGAAGGTCTACTCTAGATCACTCTTTTTGAGGACTATATCCCTAGAGAAACAACAACAACAACAGAATGTGTGATGGAGGATGGCAAGCAACCCCCCAAAACTATCTCCCTGTACATCTGGTGAGAATATCCTACAGAATTTCCCAGCAACCTTGGAAAGATGCCTATTTGCAAATTAAATACAGAAATTAAAAGTTCTGAAGGCTTTGTTGGTCTAACATGTGTGATTGCCTGTTCCATATGTCCAGTTTGAAGAAAGCCAAACTTATTACTTGCTGGCTAGATACACAGTCTTTCTTTCTGTCACGAAGGAGTCTGCCTAAATTCAAGGCACTTGAGGCATATCTGTACTTGCATTGTACCATAGCTTGCATTCTGGACGGAGACCTCAAAGTCATGCATTCTTAGCCCCACCAAACATTCCCCAGTTGCCTTGGGCAAATCGGTTCTCCATCTTAGAAATGAAAACCACAGTGCCCTATCTGACGGGCTGTTGTGGGTAGGAATAAGACAATGGTTATAAAATACTTCAGGAAGTGCTGTTGAAATGATTAAGAATTATTTTCTCAGGGCATTGATACGAGGTATGAAATATTTGCAGAGAGGGTGTCTTTCATATAATCCACCCATTGAACGCAGTGGAATTTACTTCAGAGTAGGCATCCATTGGATCAGGATGTTGAATAGGCCCTTCCATAGAAAGCAAAGTGCTTCATTTTGGCTGTTTGGTGCCCAGTATCTTAACTCAGAGGTCCTGATTCACAATCTCTGATCCTCACTAACTACACAAGATCTTCACCGATGGAACACTGTTACCACATACTATACACAAGAAAAATTAAGAAATTTGTAAAGGTTGGGGGAGGGTTTTGCAAAGGAACATGAAACATGGTATTCCTTCCTATTATATGTTACTTCGCTTTGCATTCCGCTTTCTGCATTTCTGCTTTAGCACCAAACTGGCAACAGAGGGAGTTTTGATCCAGGCACTCCCTTAAAGGAATCGGGAGTAAAGGAAACTCTTGTTGCTTCCAGTCCTCATTCTTTAGCATGTTGTTTGGAAGTGGGGTGGGGGTCGCAAGCAGGAGCTTGCTTGCCACCCCCCCAAAGAAAAAAACGGGGAAGAGCCATAACTCAGTTAAAAAGCATAGGCTTTGCATGCAGAAAATTCTGTTCCTGGCTTCTCAAGTTATGAAGTGGTGCAGTTAGGTAACCGAAGATTTCTGATGTAATAACCTTATGGGGTCCTTTTCTTTAGATGATAATATGAGTTATTTCACTTATTCGAAGTCATCCAGCCTTCCAGCTCATTCTAGACTTCTGCCCCAAAGTCATGCCCTTATGATACCACCCGCTTGGGGTGGCGGGTTTGACGGTCAAGTGGTATACATACATTTTACGAAACAAATAAGTCTAGGAAAGACCTCTACTTGAGAACTTGCAGAGCCATTGTCAAATGAAGCAGACCAGTCTTTGCCAACTTGGTGCTCTCCAGATGTTTTGGACTCCAACTCCTACCTGCTCCAAACACCTGGAAGGCCACCAGGCTGTCGAAGGCTGCAGTGGGCACTATTTGACCAGAGGCATTGATGCTCTGATTTTGCATGAGACACCTTCATGGGTATATAATTCTAGGAGCCTGCCCCTCTTCTTATCGTCCTGTCCCGTGGAAGGGGGAGAAACAGAACCATGAAGAGCAGCTCAGGGTTGTGCAGGAAGAAACATGACAATGCTGCCAAAATAGGTTACTTAAACAGTGCCCCCCACCCCAGATAACCCTTGCCCTGTTATTTGTGCTTGTGGGAAACTGCAGCACATGGAACAGGCAGGGTTCTGTCTGTGTGACTTGCACATGAGCCTATGTAGAGCTCTGCAGGATCAGATATAAGACCCAAATGCCTATGAGAAGCCTGCAAACAAGATCTGAGAGCGACAGAATTCTCCCTGCTTTATGATTCCCCCCTTTATGATTCCCAGAAACTAGCATACTGAGGCATATTTCCTCGGAGGCAGAACACAGCCATCATGCCTAGTAGCCACTGATAGCCTTACCCTCCAGGCGTTGGGTACACTGAATTGCCATAACTGACAGCCAAGTAATCATCCATCAAAAGGCACCCTTATGTCATAGAACGACACAGAATGCATTTTTTTATAAATTTTGTGTATCAGTGCAATAAACAAATCCCATATAAAGCCATGCTGTTTGCGCCACATATATATATGTGAGAAGTGTATATACTTCTTCTGACTTGTGTATATATAGCATCTATATGTGTGCATCTATGATTTAAACAAGAGCCTTTGCAGCCTGGTGGGTCATACTATCAAATCCACGCATGGAAGTTGTATCTTCAGTATTAACAGACCGTTAACAGAAACAGAAACACAGTGCTTGCCACAAATAATTATTTGCTTATGCGATAGTTGGGCTGCCTTGCCAAGCAGCTAGATGCAATGACGGAAATCCTCATTTCCCTCCACATCATACTTAATTGGTTTAGTTAGTACTGCACTTAAATTTGTGTGAACGGGTCAATGTGAGAGTGACACAAGCTATGTTACAACCATCTCAAAACCCTGACCATCTCAAACTATTCAACCAAGTATTTCCGCTGATTTTAAAATGCTGCAATACAATGTAAAAACAACCAATGCAATTCCCTCCCCACCAAAAAAAAAACCATTAGTTTCTTCATCTAACATTAACCCACGTTTGGTTACAGCAAGTATTGTAACAGTTGCAGCTACAAGAAGGCTGACTATAGGGGACAAACATCTACCGATAGAAAGAGGCAGAGATTGGATTTCCAAGCCTGCCTTGCAGCTAGCGCTTATACCAAATTATCAGACATTTCTTATCCTTCCAGTCATCAGCAAAGGAGAAGGGAGCTGAGAGAAGGAACATAAACAGCCTCTTGCTTTGCACAGCTGAAGCAGGAGCCCTTTTTTTCTTTACTCACGGAGCAACAGCAGCAGTAGCAGACTCAGAGTGAGGCTCCTCCAGTAACCCATTTTCTGGATCTTGCCAGCAACTGAATCCCTGCTTCACAGCGTTGATCGGTTCATCCTCCGCCAGCCCATCCAGAGCTTGTGGGGCTCCTGTCTAAAATTGAAGGGGAGGCAGTTCCAGCTGTTTCAAATCCAGCTGTGCGTGTGTGGGGTCCGCCCAGGAACTGAAGTTTATGAGCAGGCGAAGCTTGACTCTCTGAACACACACAAATATGGGAGGGGGAGGATGGGGAGGGAAAAGTTGGCACGGAGAGCAGGGCTTGATATAATAATGACAATGCTAAGCTGCTTGAGGAAAAAACAGCTCTGTATGGTCCAACGCTGTTTGAAGAGCACCTCATTCCTGCCTCTAATTTTAACAGGTCTACTAAGATTAGATGTACAAATCCTTTTCTTGGAAAGAGAATGAAAGAATCCAGCAGTGACTAGTTCCCTATGTTATCACTTTCCTTTAGAAAGTACTGGAATTTGATGTTAAGCTTCATCAAATACCAAAATCCGACATTTAGGAAAACATCTGTACATTCATTGCTATAAGCATGTTGCCGTTATCATCATTGGGGGTTGTTGTTGTTTTTTTGAAAGCTTTTATGTAAAACTAGTCAAAAGATCTTAAAAGGATACAAAAGCACACCCTATTTTCACCTTTCAGTCTGGCTTCAGGTCTGAAACACAGTACAGTTGTACCTCAGGTGAAGAACTTAATTCGTTCTGGAGGTCCGTTCTTAACCTGAAACTGCTCTTAACCTGAGGGACCACTTTAGCTAATGGGGCCTCCCGCTGCCACCACTCAATTTCTGTTCTTGTCCTGAGGTAAAGTTCTTAACCCGAGGTACTATTTCTGGGTTAGCGGAGTCTGTAACCTGAAGCGTCTGTAACCTGAAGCATCTGTAACCTGAGGTACCACTGTACTGAAGCAGCCTTTGCTCACTCTGGTTGATGACTGTTAATTAGGGAAGAGATGGAGTGTGGTGGTGGTGGGGACCTGCTCCGTTGGCTTTCCTTTTCCATTTCTCCCTATGGCAGCTCCTTGGGCTGGGAGAGGGAGGCACTGTACTGTAGTGGTTCTGCTCCTTTCTGCAGGGCTACTCCTACCAGACGTAGAACTCAGGAGACTTCAGCTCAGCTCCTTGGCCATTGAGAAACTGCTGACGAGGGGTATTCAGAGATGCAGAGTACGTTTGTCATTGATATGCTGATGACAACCAGTTCTACCCCCTGGTTCCATCTGAATTGGGCTTTGCAAGTGGTGTCTGCAAGCAGTAACTGGCTCTATGAGGACCGATAAACTAAGGCTATATCCCCCATAAGGTGGAGATGCTGTGGGCAAGTGGTTGTTCCATGCCTGGCGTTTAGGGAGACAACCTGTTCTGGATGAGGTAGCAGGCACATAGCCTGGGGGTGTTCCTCAACACTAAGTTGTCACTTCATGTCTGCATGACCTCAGCAGTTAGGAGTACCTCTTCTCTGGTTTGCCAGCTACGACCATTTCTAGATCTGGATAACCTGGCTGCAGTGATTTTTTAAATATATTTTCAGCATGGTACCATCAGTTCACATCAGAAGCTCCTGCTGGTATACAACAGCTAGACTGATGATGGGGACAGGTGGCCGAGAGCAAGTAACAGTAAAGAATAATATAAAATACATAATACCATAGAGGAAAAGGAGGCAGATCAATTAATACATTAATATTTCAGTGGCCAGAATTGTCATTGCAGTCAGACACTTAAATTCCACTGGCGTATATCCCTGACCAGTTTCTCTGCAAAAATATCATAACCATTCATGTTATCTTTGTGGATATCCGATGTTTATGAGCTGAAAGAAACTAGCATTTTTTCTTCTGGCTTCAGTATATATTCAGCCCAGACACGGAGGCCCTCCTCTCAGGATTTTCTGCTGGTTCCCTCACTGTGAGAAGCGAGGTTACAGGGAACCAGGCAGAGGGCCTTCTCAGTAGAGGCGCCATACCTGTGGAACACCCTAACCTTCAGATGTCAAGAAAATAAACAGCTATCTGACTTTTAGAAGACACCTGAAGGCAGACCTGTTTCGGGAAGTTTTTAATTTTTGATGTTTTAGTGTGTTCTGATATATGCTGTGAGCCACCCAGAGTGGCTGGGGAAACAGAGTCAGATGGGTGGGGTATTATTATTATTATTATTATTATTATTATTATATTATTATATTGCCATCCCCTCTTTTCCCCCTGAAAACTTTCCAGATACTCTGTTTTATGGGTTCTGCTTCTGCTTGGCTTAATATTCGCTTTCCCCAGCCCTCCTGCAGTCTTTGTGGTCTCTTTACAGCCGTTCTGCTTACATGCGGAGGCATCTCTGAAGCTGCTAGAGCAATATATGAGGGTTCCCCCCCTTTTCAATCATCATTTCCTTCAGGCTTTGGCACCTTTTGCAAATGTTTTTGTGGCTAAAAAGGCCACCAATGATTATTTACTTTGAATTACTGTCCACTAGGATTTTTCATGTTATACATCCTTTAAATCACAAGCAAATGCATTTGCCTTTTTTATTATAGTAAATACAAAATTAAAATGCACCCTAGCCCACAGCCTACTGGAATTTAAGACCTTTGGCTACAAAGACCTCTTCAAAGATCATGGCAGTGTGTGTATGTGCATACAAAGCAGGGTGCCTTCATATCCCATTCAACAGACATATTGGGCAGCAGATCAAATGGTGAATGAATAACCCATTTTACCAGTGCCTCAAGCAGATTGCCTTCTTATTTTTTCACAGTATTGGATATATATTTAATTAATTAAATAAATATATATTCACCCTCTCTCCAAAGAAGCAACAACAAAAAAGCAGCATTAGCAGCATCAATTGTTTAAATGTTGAAAATCTCCTTTGGAGATGTATGTGTATGTTAGTGACCTCACCAGTTCCCCGCCAATCAGTGCTGTGCACAGCTGCTTCTGCTTCAGACAGGAACAACAGGTTCCCCCCTGAACTCAGGCTGGGATAGGAGAGTCTGACCAAAAATGCAGTTAGCATACTTTCACAGTTTACTTGGAGGAGATCTAAAGTCGAGCACACCCCTTGCGTGCAAAAGATTCCCTCTTGAATCCCTGCCATCTTCAGCCATGGCTGCAAAAACCTCTGGTCTTAAGACCATAAAGAACTCCTGCCAGTCACCTTAGGCCGTCCTAAGCTAGATGCTTTGACTCAGTGCAAAGCAGTTTTCTATGTTGTTCTACAACAAAGACGATCCACATCTAAGTGTATCCTTGCCAGCAAGCAGGAAAAATAACTTGGAAACAATAGACCAGTAGAGGGAGATAAGATCAATTACACAGCCAACAATCATGGAAGAGCTGGCAAACAAACATTTAACACGCCAGGAGAGGGCAAGTGAAAAATGAAAATGGTGAACACAAAAGTGTAACTCAACTTCTCTACTGCACTCTCATGGCATACATTTCATTACAGGGAATGTGTTTTGTGTCTTGCCTTACAAGTCCATTCCCTTTTCCATCTTATTGCCTCTTTTTTAGGGTTGCCATATTTCAAAAAGTGAAAATCCAGACATAAAAATTGTGTCTAATGCCGGCTATTCCGGGAAATTCCGGATGTATGGCAACCCTACTTTTATTACTTGCTTCATCAGAAACGTCATGATTAAGGAAGGCCTCCAGAACTTGTAACCTAATGATCAGAAGACAGCCCACTAAGCTGAATACAGTGTAACAGCTGTGTATTGTCCATGTGGAACTGGCAAATTTTAGCAATCCATAGGAGCCAACTCCTAGGGGCCAAGGTCCCTTCAGCTCCCCAATAAAATATTTGAGGGGGCCATGCCCTCAAAGTTGATGGGCATTGCCATTCAAATGGTTTGTGATTGATCCAAGACAGGGCTTACCTGGCCCGCCCCCTAATATTTTATTCAAGGTGGCTCCCTTTGTTATCCTAGTGTTAAGCCCAAAGAAGAGAAAAGGCAATATTCCCTAAGGAAATGAGTTTACTTACATACAGAAGAAGCCTTAAAATCTTGTTTGCACAAACATGTGCTTACTGCTTATCAGTGTGTATCAGACTTGCTTTGTATGCTTTGAACACAGGTGAATGTGGCTGTGATAGTTCTGCTGTACCTATAGCTGAGATTTCCATGAAACTTTTTTCCTGTTCAACTGATCAAACTGCAAAAATTTACAAGGATCAAAATCCTCTTCTGATGTCCCAGCAATCAAGACATCTTGGTTTCTTCTAATGGGCCACTGTACCCTTAAACCTATTTTATCAATGGTTGTCTCTGAATGCATTTTTCCATCTGTAAAATTAGCTTTTAGCTATTGCAAGCAAAACATTCATACTGTACTAAACTTGCATGCATTTGACCTCTCTAACCTATCCTCCCTTCACAACTCCAGTTAAAATAAACTCAAAGATGATTTTAAAGACCCTTTGAGTGCTTTCAGTGTATCTGGTTTCTATTCTGTTGTCTCCATTGTTTGTACAAATTTCTTCCAAGGTTATTTTAATTGTTACTTTTGCCCATTCATTCCTAGTCAGATAGAATTTCCCAAGTTTTTACAACGAACATTTTATTGGAACAAACACTCCTTTTAAGAATGTGAACTGCCGATGTGCCCTTTGAGTATGACTGATTTAAGATTTGTTTTATAAACCAATAGTCCATTTTATGCATGATTGCACAGTCGCCCAAAATCTGTTTCCCGTTATGAAGTGGTCTTTGGGGTGTTTACTCTAGATATACAGTAAGATATGTCTCTTGCATCAGTTACACTTCCATTTTAAAGGATATGCATATTGGAATCTTCTGAACCCACCCCAGTGATGCTGAAATACTTGTGTGAATCCCATATATGCCTCATCAAGCATTATTGTTATGGCTGGGTTCTAAAGATGAAGATAATGGGAAACTTGGGAGTGTATCTTCTCTCGTGACAACAAAAGCAAATCTGGACGAGTCTCAAAGAGACCTTTTGACTTCCTTACCCGCATAAAAGCATACACAGAGCCATGCTGTCTTGCTAGCTCTCTTCTCTTTTGATGGGGTTATCTCTGAGCTGAATAACATTCAGCACAGCCAGGCAAATTGCCTAGTTCCATCCTGTCTTGTTAACATGGCCTGGGAGAGGCTTAAAGTGTTGATTGCTTGGCTTAAATAAGACTCAAAAGTAGTCTGCATTAAACAGTGTACCGGCAACTCCCCATTTATG